AGACATATAAGCCTATGAAATTTGGATCTATATAGAAACACCCCAAACATTAAATAGTGTACCTAAAGTTTCAAAAGTATGTTGCTTAAAACAAAATAAGAATCTTTACCCAAAAAAAAAGACAAAATAAGAATAAAAATAAAGCATCATATTTCAAATTTTCAAAAACAAAAATAAGAGAAATGTTAATGAGACGGGTAATGCTAGAGAAACTAAATTTGTAGATAAAATTTTGTAAACTAAATGACATGCAAGTTGATAATTAGATTATCACTTAAATATTAATTAACATACTTATTTTTTATTGGTAACACATCATTTAGTTTGCAATTTAGTCCACAAAATTGGTCTACTTAGCATTACTCTAAGGAGGTTCATATTTTTGACACAATGTTTTAATGTTGGCACAAAAGTTGACAATAAAATGTGAGGTGACAGAGCATGGAGAGTCTCAATTTGAGTAGAGATTTTTCAATGTGCCCAAAACACAAACATCACACATTATTAGAGCACTTCTAGTGTAGTAAGGCTCCTAGGTAATAGGCAACTTAATCCCTTTAAATGAACAATAACTTTGTGCAGTGAACAATAGCTGCCTCAGTGCATCTTTACCCATAAATTGAATAGCTCAGGCAATTCGTATTAAAATATTAGTATTTTTTATTTTACAAAATAATAAAATATTTTTATTTCAAATTTCAAATTATAATAAAATATTGGTTTAAAATATTTGAAAATATTGAAATGTAGTGTAAAGTGAAAGAACGTGGTTATGTGTGTGTGTGTATATATTTATATATAATTTTTTTATATTTTTAATTGGTTTTTGTTTATACCATATTTAGGGCCTCGTATTTAGATCTCGTACAAATACTCGAGGGACTTAAATGTAATTATGTGATAAAGGAATGGGCAAATATGTAATAAGTAAGGAGTCCTTATTCTATAAAAGGACCCATCACCCTCACAATTAGAGGAGGCCATTTCTGAAGCCTTATCACCCCTCTTACGTCCCCTCTCATATTCAGAGGTTCTCTCCCTCACATCTTAGATAAATACATAATCAATGTGGACATAGCCCAAACCTTAGGGTGAAACACGATACATCTTGTGTTATTTACATTTCTTGCAGATTCACGGTCAGATTTACGTTGTTCCAAGACCTCCGGTTTTGTGCATCAACATTTGGCGCCGTCTATGGGAATCGACACAAAAAACTATGTCGGTTCTATTTTTTCCATCTCACCACCGTGAAACCTTCACAACCTCACCACTGTCCACCATGGATCTGCAAAACCCAAATGACAACCAAAATTCTCTCTGTTGCTTCTGATCTCTTTCACCTCTTCAAACAAAACACCGCAAACTCTCTCTCTCTAAAACTCACGGTGAGAAAACACCACCACCCAAACAACTCTCAAACATTTATTGCCACCAGAAAAACTCTCTGAGTCTCTATTTTTTCTTAGTTCTAGAAAGAAAGAGGGGGGAGAGAGAGATGGCAGCAACCACCGGTGCGGGGCTCAAAGGGTTGAACTCGGCAGCCTTCTTATGTGAGGGCAAGAGAAGTCAGGCCTTGCTCTCTGCTGCCACCGTTGGAAGCAAGGTTGGTGGTGTTTCTCCTACTCCTAAGAGGTTCATTGTGGTTGCTGTTATGGCAAAGAAGTCTTGGAACCCGGCGGTTAAAGGCGATGGCAACTTCATCGACCCCGAGTGGCTCAATGGCTCGTGAGTTTCATATATTATCATCCACATTATAATTATTCGAAGTTTGTCATAGATATATGTATGAACTTGTGGGCAGCTTCTGCAAAACCCAAATGAATCACATGCAGCAGCTTTCCCAACTCCCCCATATCATAATCCACCACCCCAACTCCCCTCGTCACCACTCCCACCCCCACCGCCGGAGCCCTCCGCAAGCTCGGTGTCATCGTCAACTTCTCTGACGAGAGCGCACACACCGTCCGCTAGGCTGTCGACCACTACATCCACCCTAAGGACGCCGTCATCCTCGGACGTAGAGAGAAGACGCGGAGAGTTTTCGTTCTGCGCAGACGCCATGGCTGGCTCGTGGAGAGCTTGAGGATCTCTCGTCATGCTTGCGATGGTCACATTCAGATGCCTTTTTGCAATTTCCATCGCGGAAGAAGAAGTGACCAAGTTCGAACAATCATTAGAATTGATCTTGGAACCACTTATTCCTGTGTTGGTGTTTACAAGAATGGTCACGTGGAAATCATAGCCAATGACCAGGGTAACCGTATCACCCCTTCATGGGTGGTTTTCTCTGACAATGAGAGACTAATCGGTGAGGCTGCTAAGAACTAGGCAGCTGTCCAAATGCCTCCCACTCAACAACCTGCAATGCAGCAGGAAAAGAAAAAGGGATAAAGCACCTGGATACTGACCTTTTACAGCTGGACTACCCACCTTTTGCTAGGGTTTTGCGCTCCTCACCCATGCAGTAAACCTGCAATACAGCAGAAAAAGAAAAGAGCAAAGAAGAAAGAGAAAGAAGAAAAGGGGCAAAATCATAAGGTTCCTATTATTACGATTCCTTTTGTCTATCAGGTGAAGAGACAGAGAGAGTGCAGCAGAAAGCAAAAGCAAGGAATAAACACCCCACCAGAATGATGTGATTTACTTTTCTTGTTTCTGAATGGTGTAAATTATTTTTTATCTTTCGGAGACATCTGTATAAACCCCATCAGAGGGTAAAAAAAAAAAAAGGCAAAGCCCAAAATAAATGGGCTGGAATGTTGTGTAGAGGGCGAAGGTCCATAAGCCCAAAATAGCTCCAACCAGGTGATCAAAAGTACGCCCAGTACTCCAAAAATTATTTGGCAACTTACCGCTATTACCACCAACCAGATGATGAAATGTACAACCCGTACTCTAATATCATTTGGCAACTAGCCATTCATGCCACCAACCAGGTGATGAAATGTACAACCCGTACTCTCCTTCATGCCACCAACCAGGTGATTAAAAGTACGCCTAGTACTCATACATGAGCATGACTCATGTCAATCATACATAAACATTCATGAGCATCACTCATCCAATCATACATAAACATTCATGAGCATCACTCATGTCAACATCCATGAGCATCACTCATGTCAATTAGCTTCAAAAGCTTCATTTACAAAAGCTCTAGCTTCAAAAGCTTCATTTACAGAGCTCCAGCTTCGAAAGCTTCATTTACAGAGATCCAGCTTCAAAGCTTCACATGCAAAGCTTCACCTATAAAGCTTCAGTGTAGGGTATACAAATACCGCCTCCGAACAACCGCCATTTCGGCCCATAAAAGGATTCAATTTGAAGTCTCCAGCCAACAGACTCTATTGACCGGAGACTTGGGGGACTACACTATGTACCATATATTGGGCCTCAACTGGGCTTCATGAAAAATACTTGGGGGACTTTGCCCATTATCTATGTACTAAGGAGTGAGCCCTTATTCTATAAAAGGGACTCCCTCACTTTCATTAGAGAGCACTCATGAAAAATACTTGGGGGACTCTAGCCAATCATTCATGTATTGAGGTGCGAGCCCTTATTCTATAAAAGGGACTCCCTCACCACCATTAGAGAACATCAACTCTAGCCCGTATTTATGTATTGATGAGTAAGCCCTTATTCTATAAAAATGACTCCCTCACCATCATTAGAGAGCATCGCCGCCTACTGAGCAACCGCCTCCCCGCGAGCATCAACTCTAGCCCATATTTATGTATTGAGGAGTGAGACCTTATTCTATAAAAGGGACTCCCTCACCTTTGTTAGAGAGCATCGCCCCCAGCTGAGCAACCGCCTCGCCACGAGCATCACTCTTAACCCATTATTCATGTACTGAGGTGCGAGCCCTTATTTTATAAAAGGGACTCCCTCACCATCATTAGAGAGCATCAACTCTAGCCCATCATTCATGTATTGAGGAACGAGCCCTTATTCTATAAAAGGGACTCCCTCACCTTCAACGCCACAAACCGAGCCAACCAAGGCAACATAAGCCACGAGCCAAGCAGCCTCGCAGCATGTGCTACTTCTAGTTGAGCATTATTTCAGATTGAACACCGCCTCATATCGAACATCAGTTCAAGACAACATCTAGTTACTTCGGCCCACACATGGACTGAATTTCAAGTCTCCAGCCAAAAGACTCTCTTAACTTTAGACTTGGGGGACTACTGTTTATACCATATTTAGGGCCTCGTATTTAGATCTCGTACAAATACTCGATGGACTTAAATGTAATTATGTGTTAAAGGAATGGGCAAATATGTAATAAGTGAAGAGTCCTTATTCTATAAAAGAACCCCTCACCCTCACAATTAGAAGAGGCCATTTCTGAAGCCTTCTCACCCCTCTCACATCCCCTCTCATATTCAGATGTTCTCTTCCTCACATCTCAGATAAATACATAATCAGTGTGGACGTAGCCCAAACATTGGGGTGAACCACGATACATCTTGTGTTATTTACATTTCTTGCAGATCCACGGTCAGATTTTCGTTGTTCCAAGACCTCTGGTTTTGTGCATCAACAGTTTTTATAATTTTAACCATTTTTATCATTTTTTTAATAATTTAAATTGTGGTTTATGTCATGGTGACATCAACCTTGCATCACATAAGCAGGTTGCTAGGTCAGGCGATTATTGTTTGACTTATCCATCGGGCTCACCTTGAATCCAATTGTCCGAGTGGGCTGAAGTGTTTTGAAAAGAATGGGTGGATTGAGTTGCCTATCTCCAAAGTGATACGCAACGATAGAGTTGCTCTTATACAACTAAAAGGACACTTAAAAAATATATTCTCTAATTATACAATAACATACGATAATCCGACCATATACGCTATAAAATCTGGGGAGTACCCTTTGCTTTTCTGTAAAAATAAAGCGCATGCAAAAGATGAATGAAAACTACTCCATTGTGTTATTCCTTTTTACAGCACTCGAGGTCTGACGACCAAATGACATCAACCTTTCTACCAAAATTCCAATCCACGATGCAAAAAATGCGCCAATCGTCAAAAGCCATCAAAGACAACTGTCAACCCCAAATCTAAACCCCAATCCAAATGTGAACCTGTCTCTGCAACTCTAAAAAGTTGGAAGTTATTGCACTCTCCGTTTGAATATACTGCACCATTCCTTTGTGCTCTCTCTCTCTCTCTCTCTCTCTCTCTCTCATCTGCATTACCTGACAAAAAAATACACAAAACCTCACCGACTTAGTAGCAAAAGCAACATGGGTTTCTACTGTGAGCACTGAAGATCAAGAATTTCGGACAAAGTTCGAGTTTTTGACCCGAAATCACACATGGGTTTGATTCATTTTCTCGTTTCTCTGTTTATTCTGCTCGCATGTTCTACCCCACCACCTGTTTGTGGGAATGCCGAGCTCGGAGCTCTGATGGAGTTGAAGGCCTCTCTGGACCCGGAAGGCAGGGTTTTGAAGTCGTGGACCAAAGAAGGTGACCCGTGTAGTGGTTCATTCGAAGGCGTGGCCTGCAACGAGCACCGCAAAGTGGCCAATGTTTCTTTGGTGGGGAAGGGTCTCTCGGGTCGGGTCTCACCGGCAGTGGCGGAGCTTAAGTGCTTGTCGGGTCTGTACTTGCACTACAACAACTTGTCAGGAGAGATTCCTAAAGAGATTTCGTATCTCACCGAACTCACTGATCTGTATCTCAACATCAATAATCTAACTGGGGGTGTTCCTTCCGAGATTGGGAACATGACTAGTCTCCAAGGTTGGTAATTTTTTTGGTCTGAAATGTTTCAGTTTCTGAGAGAAATAAATTTCCGTCTTTTTGTAGGTAAGAATGGATAATTACTGGGTGAAATAGCGTAATGTAGTGGTGAAAAGCTTTGATTTTTCGTCAAAACTCAGTTCAATTCTGCTATTTGAACTAGTATAATTGGGTGAATTTTATAGTCATGTTTTCTCCCTTAGACGAGCAAGACAAGAAGACGACGAAAGAAGAGAGGGAAGCGATTTCCGCACACTCCTTCAGATTTTTGTCTGGCCTTTGAGATCAAGGGAGAAAAATAAACGGAGAATGAGAAAAGGGGCGTGCAGAAATCATTTCCCGAGGAGAAATTGGTGTTTGGTTTCCAGGAAATGAAGCTCACTCGTCTTACTTGATTTCTTTTTTCATCTTATATTGTAAAGATGGTTTGTTTTTCCTGGTTATGATTTGGTTGCTAGTCAAGTGTATATTCTTCGATTTATGTCTATCGATGTTTCATCTTCAATTGCTCATTTACATTTAGTTGTTCTTGGCTTAATCCCATTCCATATATAATAATTTTTCTTGTTTTCTTCTTGGTCTTTCGCAGTTCTACAGCTATGTTGTAACCAGCTGACAGGAAATATACCAACCCAGATGGGATCCTTAAAGAGGCTAAGTGTTATTGCTTTGCAGTATAACAAACTAACCGGTCAAATTCCTGCAAGCTTGGGGAACCTGGGAGTGCTTAAAAGGCTTGATCTGAGCTTCAATAAGTTCTTCGGTACAATTCCTGCAAAACTAGCTGATATCCCATCCTTGGAAGTCCTAGATATCCGAAGCAACTCGCTTTCTGGAGTTGCCCCTCATGGTATGTCTATTCAATCCATCCTCACTTATTTTCATAAATCGTTTGTTGTTTCTATTTTCTTCGCTTGGCATTTTCTGTGTATTTTCACCGTTCTGATTATTTCCATAATTTGTAATGAAAGCTTTGAAACGATTAAAAGAAGGATTCCAGTGCGAGAACAACCCAAGATTATGTGGAGTTGGATTTTCTAAATTGCGAGCTTGCACATCTTTTGACATGGACAACGTGAATGCTCATGGACTACCACTTGGACCAAACATAACTGATTCCACTCCAAAAGCTAACCCTGAATCTGTAGATGTCCAAGCGTCTTGCAACCAAACCCATTGCAGAAAATCGACCAAGTTTCCGAAAGGTGCAGTTGTTGCAGGCGTTATTGCCCTCTCTGTCACTTTGGCTGGGGCAGTATTTCTAGCCCTTATCCGGTACAGGCAACGAAAACAAAAGATTGGAAATACGTCAGATCCTTCTGATGGTCGTCTTAGCACTGATCAGGCCAGGGATTTCTACAGGAGAAGTCCCTCTCCACTTGTGAGTCTTGAGTACGCTAACGGATGGGATCCCTTGGCTGATGGTCGGAACGGAATTGGTCTCTCCCAGGAGTATTTGAATAAATACTGGTTCAACATGGAAGATGTAGAGTCTGCAACCCAATACTTCTCCGAGGTGAATTTATTGGGGAGAAGCAAGTTCTCTTCTGTCTACAAAGGAGTTCTAAGAGATGGTTCTCTTGTGGCTGTAAGGAGCGTTAATGTGACCAGCTGCAAGTCTGAAGAATCTGAATTTTTGAAAGGACTAGAACTGTTATTTTCACTGAGACATGAAAACATTGTCAAGCTTAAAGGTTTCTGCTGCTCTAGGGGCCGGGGTGAATGCTTCCTTATCTATGATTTCATTCCCAAGGGAAACCTCTCTCGATATCTTGATGTAGGAGATGGAACGAATGAAGTCCTCGAGTGGTCCAAGAGAGTCGCTATCGTCAACGGCATATCAAAAGGTAAGTTATCTTCACTAGAATGACCCGTCCATGTGTGTGTGCATATTCCAGTATGTTGTTTGTGATATTATTTGTTATTTTCCGACCAGGTATCGGATATTTACACAGCAGTGAAGCAACTAAACCTGGCATAATCCACCAAAACATATCGGTTGACAAGGTTCTCCTTGATCAGCAGTCTAACCCATTGATTTTGGACTCTGGCCTTCCTAAGTTGCTAGCCGATGATGTTGTCTTCTCCACTCTTAAAACAAGTGCCGCCATGGGATACCTAGCTCCTGAATACATCACCACGGGTCGTTTCACTGAGAAGAGTGATATATACGCATTCGGAGTCATCATCCTTCAGGTTATATCTGGGAAACTGCAACTTAGTAGTTCAATGCGATCAGCTGCAGAATCATGCAGATATGAAGAATTTGTCGATGCCAACCTGAAAGGGAAATTCTCAGAACCTGAAGCAGCTGCACTAGCAAAAATCGCACTGGTGTGCACCCACGAGCTTCCTGACAACAGGCCAACAATGGCGGAAGTCATTCAGGAGCTGAACAACCTCGGAGCCAGTTCCTGATACCACTGCCATTTTCCATGTGGAATAAACTGCTGCAGATGTTAACCCCGGAAAGTGAGGCCTCAATGGAGTTGCACCCTTAGTGGCGAACCAGCTAAATGACCTCCCTGTGATTACTTGTAATCTATGTTTGGAAAGCCAGCCTTCGAGGTGAAAGTCGAGGAAATTGAAAGGAGAGTTGAGATTCATTTGTTCCATCTGTGAAATTCTATCCGATGGTTTCTCATACATTTTAGGGATGTATTCTGGTTACTGTTCAAAGTCTGGTGCTGGTTGCATCATTAGTAATGTATAATTTTTCAGTTAGACAATAACTAATAAAATCATCGGCTTCAGCTGATACCATGTCATGGAATGTCATTTCCTCTTCAGAAGGACCGAAAACCAACACACGGCTAATTTCTTTCACGTCAAATATATTTGATTGATCAGAAATCAAAACAAAATTAAATATATAAAGACGGATCTAGAAGATATGATAACAATTACGAGAAAGAAGCTCAGGGTTAAAGGAATAGATGAAGACCTAAGAAGACTTGGAAAGAGACTAAGAAAAGACTTGGACTACTTGGATCTAACGGAAGACATGGCACAAAACCGAGCGCAATAGCGTTCTAGGATTCATGTAACCGACCCATTTAGTGAGATAAGGCTTTGTTATTGTTGAAGACATATGAAAACTCCATTACTGATCAAAATTAAATATTGATGACCCATAGCGATCAGATATTGGCGTTACAGCGATCAGGTGCGGGAGTTTGAAAAATGCTTCAAAGATTAGGAACCAATCAAACTTATTTTCATTTAGTTTAAAGTCAAACTCAAAAAAAATCCAGAAAGTTAAACTAAAGCATCCGAAAAGACAGAAGAAGAAGTGCAGCAACAATCGTGTAGGAGTTTTGTGTTGTATTCAACGCTTGCAATCTCATACCCTTATTAGGAAGAGTTGGAATCAACAGAAGTATTGGCATAGCAGCCCCAAAACGGCTCGTCTCATCATTTCAATGAAACACATTCTTTTATTTTATTTCAACAATCAAAATAAATAAATGTATAGAAGTACATTTACTGCCGGCACGGCGACGGCATGCAGGATCAAACAAGTCTGTAGAGGGCAACACCATCATTCTAAGCAACTGCACTTTGATGTTGATGCTGTTGAAGCCATTCAGCAGGCCACCAATCTGGTTTAATAGCCTCAACCCTTGTATCTTTCTGTCCTTGTATGGTCAATGTACTTGATCCCTTGAAGGCTTCGTCCAAACGCAAGACACCCAGCCCACGGCACCCGAGTTGAGTTGTGACAGTCCCGACTTTCTTTCCCGTGGCGCTATCAATCACTTCGGAGCCAGGAGCAACTTTCTGCTCTGCTTCTGAAATAACAGAAAGTTAAGGGTTGGGACTCTGGAAACATACTGGACAAATAAAATTATGAAAGTTGAATTGGAAGGCTGATTACCTTCTCCGTTTTCCTCGAGAAACCTTAAAGGAAGCAAGCGTTTGCGAATGACCCCTCGGTGGTGTGTACGAGCTATAAGCTCTTGGCCCACATAACACCCCTTGTGAAAGCTAATTGCATTTAGACCCACCAGGTTATACTCAAGAGGAATTGCCTCACCTAGACATGATAATTACACGTTCAGACGACAGAACGTACATGGGATAACATAAAACTACATTTTCTTGGGTCTAGGCAATTCCAGGACAAAATAGAACCACTCACGGAGAATGAAGGCCAAATCTTACCAAGTAAATCATGAACAAAGAACATTTGAGTTTTATATCGTAGATATTATTCGGGATTTATTAAAAATTCAAGTATAGCGTCGGGAAGGAAGTAAGATGCACCTTTTGGGATCTCTGTTGAGCCTTCTGCAACTCCATTTTCTATTCTCCATAGACGGTAATTCTGTTCATCTGTTTCTTTGTCAGCTTCAACCAAAGGTGCTGCAATGAAAGAAGAAAAAAGGCGTAGCTTAATTAACAAGGTCTGTGAAGAAGTATCCCACATCCAAAGCTCAAAAGCAGCCAAGGGTTAAAAACTCACGTAATGTATCCGACGGGAAGATCCCTCTGAAACCAAGGCAATCCAATCTGGGATCCTTAAACCATTGCCATCCAAGAGCATTCCTGCGTGCAGATGACATGCCTGAATGATCAACACCAGCACCCCACCCAACACTAGCAGCCTCTGGTTCTTCCACAGAGGAGGATTTTCCAGAGACGTTTCCCGCATAACACTGCCAGCATTTCAACTCTTCTGCCATATTCTCGATATCAACCTTAGCCCTCAAACGGTATCTGCAAAATGGAAAAAAAAAAACATATTAAGGAAACAGACGTCAACCTTACATTGCAAAGTGAAGCACTATAAGAAGAGGAAAATGACACAATGTCCAAGGAAATGCGAACATTTGATGCTGAAACTAAAGCGACATTTCCAAACTGCTCGAATCATATATCGAAAGCATTTAGTTAGACTCAGGCCATGTATGGTGCTTAGGATTGAATTGGATAACTCGCTAGATTCAAGGAACGTTGAAGGAAACCATGGCAACCAAGTTCCAAATTTTATCCGAGTTGAAGGTAGAACATGGATTAGTCATGGAGATGGATTACAATTTATAGCCTTAACATGCATATGCAACCACATTTCAACTGAAACTAAATTCCGTAAAAAAAAAAAACAAAAGAAAAATCCATTTTTCCCACTCAAAACTTGTAAACAAACAGAACCCATTACAAAACAGCCTTATTAGGATAACCAAAGCTACAGAGTGATTAACCAAAACTCACTTCTTCAAGGTACTCAATAGCTCATCCAAGACCGAAGCATCCACGTCGGCGAACACCTCCACCCCCTCATCTGGGTCGGGGCCGGGCGCCGACCCCGTCCTATCGAGCTTGGTATCGGGCCTGGGCGGAGTGTACAAGAAGAAATCGTACAAGAATCTCCCTTGGGGCGTCAGCAGCGCGGCGTACATGGGCCGTTCGGACACGGAGGACAAATTGAGGGTGGCCAAAGTGGAGGTCTTCTCATCCATGGGTTCTCCGAACTTCCGTACATCGTTGGTCAGCAGACCCTGAAGGAATTTGGCCGTGTCCGGACCACGGAACCTGACCACCGCCCTCGACTTGAGGACGGAGGCCAGCGACCCAGCGCTGTCCAACTGGGTTTTGTCGTGGAGAGCTCTGTAACTGCAGGAAATGGATTTAGGGAACTGCAGGGGGAGTTTGAAACGGTGCATTCTTGGTTACTGTAAGTTTGGGTAAGGAGAAGGAGTAATGACGAAGGTGGAGGGAGGGAGCTATGGAGGCTATGGAGGTGGAGGTGGCGGTGGCGGTGGCGGTGGCAAAGCGAAGATTGCTTGGTGGTGACGCGTGTGATTGTGGGCGTGTTGGGTTCGCGCCACGTGTAGTTAAAAGGCGGTTGTCTGTAATGTAAAGGTTGAATGAGTCGAAGGTGTTCGATGAAAGTCCTGAATGAGGAAGGCAATGTTTTTGTAGGTGCAGCTGGAGGCGCCGGGTGTGCATTGGGATTTTGGGGAAAGGGCTGGGATTTTGGGATCACGTGATGTGACTCGTGAGTCGTGATGGTTTTGGGTTGCAAGTTTGGTTTTGGGTTGCAAGTTTAGTATACTAGGGGTTTACTCTTATTTGTTTGTTTGCGCAAATTCATTTCAGATCAATTTATTAGTTACGAAAGTTATGTACCTAATCACATTCTTGTATTTGTTTGTGTTGATTAATGAAATATCATACTATCATTTCTTGTCAAAAAAAATAAAAAAATAAGCCCATGACTAACTAGATATAACACTTGCATCTTCTCATGGGGAAATACATATCTCCCATTCTTTAAAATAATGTATTTTCATTTTATATGTTATATAATAAGAACCGCTTAGTTTTTAATGCTCATTTGAATGAATCCGGATTCTCGCCGAATCCTCTTAGATTCCGGGAATCTATGAATCATATTTGTTTATCGTACATCGTATAATTAGAAATCATTTTAAATATTTTTATTTAAAATTAAATACAAATAGTACCTAACAAAAATTAACTGTACGATATACGATGAACGGACACCATTTACGAATCCCCATGATCATCACCAAAAGGATCCGGAGAGGATCCTGTTGGCATTTGAATATCACACTCTTACAAAAATACATTTAAATATGAGATCGTTTGTTCATTCGGATATAAACTTATGATATTTGTATAGTAAATATACATTATTCACAAATAGCGGGATGCATGCATTCTCCCACTGGAAAATGAAAATATTATCTTATCATTTTCTGTTTTCATGATTTGTGTGAATCGAATTCTGAACTTACCAAAATTGGGATATTTGTACCCTAACTAGAGTCCTACTATATATTATACATTGCTTTATAAGTGTGATCATCGGTTAAACTCTCCTTTTGAATTATTTTTTGATATCATGATATATTTACACTAAAGGAGTAAGAGAATAAATTGGTATCGAAGTCATCATTTATGAAATTTAAACCTACAACCTTACATTTACAAGTAATGAAGAAAAATATTAGACTGTAGTACTAAGTGACAAACGCACATTAAATTTAACATAAAAAAATATATATAGACCACCAAGCAAAACACCGATGGAAACGCACATTAATATGATTGGGCATGCTCAAGAAAAGGCCTCTGAAAAAACCTCCCCCGAAGAAAAGAGGCCGAGCATGCGAACATAAACAAAGAATCAAACTCTCAAACGCGTACAATTTCATCATTGATACAATCCATCAGCCAACGAAAGCCCTTGCTCGCAAGGCGATGAACAACTCCATTAGCACCCCTTGAAATTGAATACAACACCAAATGACAGCCATACACTCCCCTTCCTGTAAAATCAGCTGGACAGCCGCTTGCGAATCACAACAAGGCGAAGCAGATTTGCGTCAGTCGCCAATTCTCACCCCACCTTCGACGCATACAATTCTCACCCCTTGCATTGTATTCACCATAATGATTACGAACTACAGCGCCAACACCCCTTCTACTACGGTTCAAATTCATTCGGTTCGGTTTTTTTCAGTTTTGTTTCGTACAGTTTCCCTTTTTTTATTTTATACAACTTGACTCTCTTTTTTTTTAATATGGAATTTAGAAAGAGGCTTTGTATTGGTAGACTAATAATAAGAAAATGGGGAAAGTTATACAAGATCATAAATCATTCCTATTCTATCAACAACCTCCCTTTCAAAGAAAAATGATCACATTATCCATTCAAAAATTGCAAACAAATAGAAAAGTTCTTCCAAGTTCCAAAGTCTTCCAAAACTTTCCTCTATAACTAATGGAATATCCTCCCTAATT